TCTATCTATCTATCTATCTATCTATCTATCTATCTATCTATCTATCTATCTATCATCTATCTGTCTATCTATCTATCCATCTATCTATCTATCTATCTATCTATCTATCTATCTATCATCTATCTATCTATCTATCTACCTATAATTTATAAAAAGCAAATAGTTAAATGATGTAATTGCAGATCCTAGACAATGTGCTTCTTATGGCAGAGGACTTGGAATATTGTGAATAATAAATCTTTGTCTTCTGGAAAAAAGAGCTGACTCAGCTAATCCATTTAGAGTCCTTAAGGAAGTACTGATAAACTGATCTGAACGCCCACCTCATAGGTTCCTGTCACAAACTTTAGGTTCTCTTTAGGTTATGACTGAAATAGACCTCAACTTTTAATTCTTGATGCACATAGACCATCTTAGTATTTCCAGGAGAGTTTGCACCTACTTTGACTTTATCTGTGCAGATGATGAGTTGTAAATAGAATTTATTATGTTAGCATTCTCCAGAAAATGAAATTATCACATATCTCCTTACCCCTCCCCATCTCAGGAAAGGAGAGAGAAATTTATTATATGGGATTGGCTCATGTACCATAGAAGCTGAGAAATCTCAAGGCATGCAGTGGGTAAACTGGAGAACCTGGAGAGGTGGTAGTTTAGTTCCCATTCACATAAAGACCTGAGAGCCGGGAGAATGGATGTTGCCTCTTAGAGTCATTACCATCCAAGTGAGAATGCATGAGAAAGTCTAGACTAATGCTTGGCCTGCAATGGGTTTCAGAAATGATTTTCTTCTCACCTCCTTCTTTTGTTTCTCCTGGGTCAGGGGATGGTTCTAAGGCTCTGAAATTGTACATTTTATACAATAGTACATTCTATCCTGACTGACTCTGACAAACGACAAAAACCAGAATTCACTTTGTAAGTGGTTCAGACAGGAACTTCTAGAAGGACTTAGAATCCTAAGAAAAGTAAGACAATTGTAAATATAGTTTTGGCAACCTAGAAGATTTGAGTAACTATT